AAAGGTTCAAAATGTTACTAATGGCAAACGATTGAACCGAATTCATTCAAATTTGAACCAGTGACACCTCGTACACCCCTGTCTGGCATCAGTGGTTACCTAAGGGTCATCGGGGTCAAATTTTCAAAATAGCCCAATTGAGCTCGAATTTACCAGGAATGATTCTTAGGACCTTCTAAACATGAAAAACTACTCTTCATCTATAGGTAAAAATTCACAAGGGACTATAGTGAAAATTATCAAGTATTTCTAGTGACTAACGATTCAACCAATTGCATTAGACAGACGTTCTACCAAACATGGGGTGTTCACAAGTTGAGATTAAAGGTCACAGTGGTTATCTCTTTAAAAATGACTGGGTTTATGTTCTATTGAACATAGTATCTCTAGTTCTTTCTTTCTTTTTGGCAACATTTTAAAAGGCTACTAGTGACAAACTACTGGACCGATTTAATTAAAACTTGGTCAGTAGGACCGGTGCCACCTCCCATTTATGTGTTGTTCACAACTTGGCGTCAAAGGTCACATAAGGGGCATTAGGTTCAAAAAACCAAAAATCGTATAAAAGACTACTTGTCTCACAAATAACGTAGCACAGTCTTGTCGTTTGCACATATACATTGGCATAAGGCAGGGTCTATAAGGTGTTCAGGGATAAGGGGTCAAAGGTTATTAAGGGGTAATTTTCATCTTTTTTCTGGCAACATTTCAAAACGCTATTAGTGCCAAACGGTTGTGCCGATTTCAACCAAACCTGGTCAGTATAATCGGTGACACCTCTCATACATGGGGTGTTCACTGCTTGGGGTCAAAGGTCACATAGGGGTCATTAAGGTAAAAAACTTTCCAAAAAATAAATAAAAGACTTCTATCACAAATAACATAGCACAGTCTTGTCCTGGGCATATTTGTATTGGCATAAGGTAGGGACGTTATGGTGTTCAGCGATTTAAGGTCAAAGGTCATTAAAGGGTTATTCTTTTGTTCTCTATAATAACATTTAAAAATGCTACTAATGGCAAACCATTAGAATAAATTCAATCAAATTTCGTCATTAAGAACCGGTGATACCTCCTACACCCCAGTCTGAGATCAGGGGTCACATAGGGGTCATCGGGGTTAAATTTTCAAAATAGCCCAATTGAGCTCAAATTTACCAGGAATGATCCTTAGGACCTTCTAAACATGAAATTCTTCTTTCTTTCTTTCTTTCTTTCTGTCAACATTTCAAAATGCTACTAGTCAGTTTCTTTCTTCTTTCCTTCTTTCTTTCTGGCAACATTTTAAAATGCTACTCGTGGCAAACTACTGGACCGATTTTATTAAAGGTGCCCGTAGTGGTAAAAATTCAAAACGCTACTAGGTGCCAAGCCATTGTGCCGATTTCAACCAAACCTGGTCAGTTCACCACCTGGGATTAAGATCATCAGTGAATGAACCCCCCGGATACCAGCTACATATTTATCCCACAGTCTTGTCAGTTGTTGATTTGCTCGTATTGCCGTTCGTGATGTATAATAATTGTGTAATTGAAAATTAGAATTTTGATATTTTTATGTAGTACATTTTTATAAAAATATATGAAGTTGTATAATTGCAAAATCGTATTAAAAATGTAATTTTATGTAGTACATTTAAAAAAAAATTAATGAAGTTGTATAATTGCAAAATCGTATCAAAAATGTGTTTATTTACGTTTGGTTTGCGGCGTATTTCAATTAACTTATTCGTTATTTGTACTATTTTGTTTATTTAATTAAATTATTTATTATATATAATTTAACAAATAGTACAAAAATAAAAAGTATATAAATTACAAAACCATAGTAAATACTGTATAATAACATAGGCAAACATAGGCAAATAGTACAAAAATAAAAAGTATATAAATTACAAAACCATAGTAAATACTGTATAATAACATAGGCCTAACAAATTTAAATTTATTGTTTATAGTCATGCAAAATCGTATTAAAAATGTAATAACTTGATTATTTTTTACGTTTAGTTTGCGGCGTATTTCAATTAACTTATTCGTTATTTGTACTATTTTGTTAAATTATTTAATTAAATTATTTATTATATATAATTTAACAAATAGTACAAAAAAAATAAACAAGTATATAAATTACAAAAACCATAGTAAATACTGTATAATAACATAGGCCTAACACATTTAAATTTATTATTTATTATTCATGCAAAATCGTATTAAAAATGTAATAACTTGATTATTTTTTACGTTTGGTTTGTGGCGTATTTCAATTAACTTATTCGTTTTTTGTACTATTTTGTTAAATTATTAAATTAAATTATATTTATTATATATCATTATATATAATAAATGATAAGAATGTATGGAGTTTTTTTTTAACTATTTGGCAAGCCGACTGAATTAGACAGATGACTATAAACAATAAATTTAAATGTGTTAGGCCTATGTTATTATACAGTATTTATATATTTTTATTTTTGTACTATTTGTTACACTTATATATAATAAATGATAAGAATGTATGGAGTTTTTTTTTTTTTTACTATCTGGCAAGCTGACTGAGCAAATACTCACAAAATTTAAATTAAAACGATAGAAAGAACAAGTAAATACATTGAAATACGTCCCAAAAATATTTAATAAATCAGTGCAAAAACCGAGTATTAAATAAATTGAAATAATTGAGTAAATAAACTGAAATACATCCCAAACAACAGTACCAAGAACGAATAATTTAATTGAAATACGCCGCAATTAACGCACTACATTCACTGAGAGACGCGCTTGGCGTTCCATAGAAATGACCGGCGGCTCAACTTGTCGGCGGCTCAACCGGTCATAATCCATAGTCACATAGGGGTAATTAGGGTAACAAATCTAAAATAATAATAATAAAAGTCTTATGTTACAAATAACAAAGCACAGTCTTGTCATGGGCACATACTGTATGCATTAAAGATTTAGTGTCATATTAATAATAATAATCATATTTACCATATTAAAAATAGTACTAGCAGACCTACAGTATACTTTAAACCTAAACCTATATTCTTTGTCTAAGCATAGACTGTTTATGCTAAGGTTAATTTTATCTGTCAGCAGGTTTAATGTAATAAAACCTACTGTCAAAGCACACATAATCTGTGAGCAAAATAAACTGATTCTGATTGATGCTCGTAAATCACAGATAAATTTCAACTGGTGAATGTCCCAGATACAAATAGTGTCCCGTTTCATTGTCCAACATTCCATTCTCATATGCTACAACTGATTTCAACTGATGGTCAGATTATTAATTATAGAGGAACATAAAAACAACAAATTCAGAATTTTACATCATCTTGTAAGTACTGCACTTTAACTAACTTTTGTAGACCTTTCATTATGTACGTGTTATTTAGACTAAGTTATTGTTAATATGTAATGCCTCATTATAGCCTTTTTATTCTGGGTGCATAACACACACTTTCCTTTATGATCAGCTGTGTTGTACACTTTGTAATAAGCTTTTTATACAGTACAGTAGAAATAACTTATACATTAGAATATTTTGTATTTAACTTATTACTATTTTATTATTCTTTTTCTATAGTTAATCATGAAGCGTGATTTAAAACGAGTATTTACATGGGCCTCATGTTTATCACTTTGTTGGTTACATGGGGAAGACCCTTGAGTCTTTATTACATTATGTTGGGACTCTTGGTTATTACATGGGCCGCATGCTTGCCACTTTCTTTGCAATATTGCATAGAAAATCAAATCAATTTACTGGAACTGCTAAAAGAAAAGACTTCCAATGTGAAAGTAAATGTTTTTGTCCATAAAAGACCCTTTTTAATTAGATAAACTCCCTCAACAGAATGTTATGAAGCTTTAATTATATCAGTGTAGCTCTATCTTGTTTAAAGTCAGACTGTGGAGGAAAACTGTTTTGATATGTTGGAGAACTGATTTTTGTAAGACAGAAAAAAAAAGTTTGGAGAACTATAAATGAGATAAGGAAGGTGATAGAAAGAGCGGTATGCCCCCTTAACCAAATTTTTTATTGATAAAAATCTACAGTATATCTCATTCACCGTTCCCTAATTCTTGGTCAAACTACTTTTTTTCTGTTGTAATCCATATAAAATGTATAATACTTTAGTGAAAATTTGATAGTCAATTTTGGGACAAAATCAATAAAACACATATTTTCAGGCCATATTTCAACAAAAATGTGATACAGTACTAAACAATTCCTCAAGCATTGGATTCTAAATGCATCATCCCTTACCCGGACTATGCATTTAGCACACTTTTTATATTAAAAATCAGTATTCCGTGTTATTTTGGCAACATGTGGCAGACAAGAGAACTACTCTTTTGACTACATGGAACAGCTTCGTATTAACCATGTGAATTAAGCATTGAACAAACTTACAATTAAAAAATTTGCAAAGTGCATTGTTACCCATAATTAAAATGACAATATTTCACACTTTAAATAGCAAAAGTGATGTTGCATCTGATTGATAATAATTAAAATATTTTATAATAAATATTATTTTTTATTTCAAAATTTGTATACTCATATCTATTACCGGTACTATTTTGTATGTTATGGTTACTCATTACCTGATGAAGTTATTCTTTCAATGATTAATTAATTAATTAATTATTAAACAATAATAATGCAAATGTTTCTTCGTTCAGAGTAAAAATGATATATATGCTACATTTTTTTCATAACCTCTTTATAATGGTCAAACATGGCAAAAATGTACACATTGCTTTATTGTCTTTATGCAGCAAATGATGTACATGGTTCCGTATGGTGTCGAACATAGTTCAATGCACATACAACCTGTCACGGGTAATGCTAAATTCTACATTTCACTTGACTATCAAAACATTGGTTTACTTTCGTCAATTCCAGGATTACAATAGGCTGGCTTTAAGCAGCTGAAATTTTACAACATTTTTAGCAATTGTTGGAACGGACGTTTTTTATGTATACTCTAAGCGAGTCCCTCAACAATTATACTATAGGTCTTTATCCATCAGAAAGACTATTGTATTAAAATTGTACATACTGTTTTAGAGTTGTGTTTTAACATTAGTTTTGAATTTGTATTCTGTTTGCATAGTATACCAAGGTTGTATTATAGCAATTACATTTAAACTCTTATAAATATATATTAAAGGTGCCATTATAGAATATTGTTAGAATTTTTTATTGTTCAAATTTGCAATTAGTTTATTTGAATTATTTTGACTGCCAATTTACAATGCCTCGGCGATCAAAAAAAGCATATGTCAAATTAACATTGAATAAAAAGAAATCGCAAGTAATGGAAGATAGGAAATCTGGAAATCAAATTGGTAATGGAGATGCTATATGTAAAATAGTCAATAAACAAAAAAGTGTACAAAAGATTGTAAATGATATTAAAATCAAATATGATAAGCGTATTTTTCCACATTTTCATCAGGGAGATTCGCAATTCAGTGAACAATCAAGGGGTTTTCAGTGCTCATGTAATGCATTAACAATGCTATGTTGTGCCCCAGATATTCAAATGACCATGACATCAAATGACTTAGATCTGATTTTACGGCATGGTGATCAACTTTACAAAGATACCTGCCATGATCTTAATGAGGCTGGTTGTTTCGTAAATGAATATCTGAATACTGAAGAATTGCCGACAAATCGTACTATAGGTAATACATCGTACACAGTTCGTTATGAGTCTGAACGATATGGAAGTTTAGATAGTAATCCCAATAGTGTATTTGAAACGCTTGACATAGAATTACAAGCGGCATTTACTGTGTCTAACACAAACATATTAATACTTCCACCATACATGATGGCTATTTATTATTACGAAGCAACAGACCAATACATATTTTTTGATTCTCATTGTCGAGATGAGTTCGGTTTTCCTACATCAGAAGGAGCAGCTGTTACGTTATATTTTGAAAAAATTCAAAGACTTTTTCTGTACTTATCAGTATTGGCTGAAAAGTTACATTTACGAGATAGACGATTTCTTATTCACCCACTCTCCATAAATGCCAACCTACGTGATACGAATGAAGATAACGTTGCAATAGATGTAGAAAATGAACCAGGATGTTCGACATGGCCAAATGATACATATTTCCATACTACATGTAACAAAAATGAGATCGCATTAGATTTTAAGGCGAATGTAAGTAGATCTAAACAGTGTCGGACAATAAGCAGTCGACTTTCAAGATATCAAAAGTGGTTTCAGAATTTATCAAGAGAGCAAAAGGAAAAACTACGTTTCATGAAAACAAAACAATGGAGAAAGAATTATGAAATTCCTCAAAACGCTAAGAGAAAACGGCAACAGGCGCGAAAGCAATCAAAGGCTTCATATGAAATTCCTGCAAACGCTAAGAGAAAACGGGAACAGGCGCGAAAGCAATCAAAGGCTTCATATGAAATTCCTGAAAACACTAAAAGAAAACGGCAACAGGCGCGAAAGCAATCAAAGGCTTCATATGAAATTCCTGAAAACGCTAAGAGAAAAAGGCAGCAGGCGCGAAGGCAATCAAAAGGCTTCATATGAAATTCCTGAAAACGCTAAGAGAAAAAGGCAGCAGGCGCGAAAGCAATCAAAGGCTTCATATGAAATTCCTGAAAACGCTAAGAGAAAACGGCAGCAGGTGCGAAAGCAATCAAAGGCTTCATACCAAATTCCTGAAAACAGTGAAAGGAAACGACAGAAAGTTCTATCAAATAGATATAAAAAAGGGTCTGATATAGAGATTGTCATAGAAAATTTCAAGAAAACGTGTAACAAAAACCAATTGACATACGTTTGTAAAATCTGTAACAGAGTATTCTTCAAACAAGTTACATCATTTGATAGAGACAGATATCACTCCATTCTGTTAAGTGTATACCAGCAAACACAACTGTAGAGGACTTACCTTCATTAGATGATAAGAATAAAAACCTGTGGATCTGTAAGACTTGTCACATTAATATGTCATCCCATAAGCCTACTGTGCCAACATTATGAACTACTAATAAACTAGGACTGAAAGACCAATCGCTTGAATTATCTCAGTTGAATATATAGGAAAACATCACATTTCTCCAGCCATACTCTTCATGAAAATGATTTCACTAATCAAAGGCGCTCAATAGGGTATAAATGGACAAGTTGTATGCGTGAAATCTAATGTTAATAGCACTGCTCAATGCCTACCAAGACTGCCAACAGAACAAAGTCTTGTCAGGGTGAAATTGAAGCGAAAATTAGAGTATAAAAGTCATCATATGTGCCGAGACATCAGTCCATTTAGAGTAAAGCAAGCTCTTTTCTGGCTAAAAGAAAATAATCCAGAATATGAAAATATTGATATAAATTTCTCTGAATTTGAAACCTTATTGGATGATCAATTAATTTGCAGCAAAGAGCAACTGCATGACAACATTCTTGAAGTGAGCACTGAATCGGATGACACTGTAATCTACGAAGACTGTGATGATTCAAGTGTGCAAAAAAGAGATTCTGAACACAGTAAAATTAAAGAGGATAACAACAATGATGTAATAATGAATATTCACAAGAAAGTGCAAACACATAATGATAAAATACCCATTGATTTTGCAACAACTGCTGAACGACTCAGTGAAGACATTGCTGATAAGTTTCCTGACATTTCCAGTATAAATAAGTATGGCAATACTAAACCATGCTCTAGTTCTGACTCAATTTTCACAACTCACATATATCAATCCGATAATGAGTCAAACCAAAATAACAACGTAACAAATACCTCAGCACCACTTTATTCATTTCTACATCCTGTAGACTTTGCTCAGTATTTACAGACAAACACGATGAATCAATTCTGAGTGTCACTCCTGGTGAAGACAACATACCTGAAAAAGTTTTACAAATGGAAGCAAAATGTTTTCCTACCGAATTTTCCGATGGTTCAAATACCTACAACGAGAATAGAGAAAAGAAGTTATCACCTTCACGTTACTTTAATTCTCGAATTTTTTCAGCTGATAACAGATTTGCTAGAAACCCTGAGTATATATTTTTTGCTTTGTATGCCATGGAGGTTCATCAAATTCATAACAATGTTTCAATCGCACTTAGAATAGACTCAACAAAAACATCTGATGGTAAAGAAATTACTGCATCTATGTTGCAAAATCATGATGAGGTAAAAAAAACTTATAAAAAGAGATGCAGGATATAGATTTCTTGCTCAGATAAGAGGAACACCTGCTTATTGGGAAAGATCGAAACTAGATGTCTTTGCAATGATACGTCAATTAGGTATGCCAACATTCTTTGTAACGTTCAGTGCTGCTGATAGACGTTGGATTGAAATAGACAAAACAATACTTTTTGCACAAGGAAAACCACCAATGACTGAAGAACAACATAAAAACATGTCATGGAAAGATCATTGTGATATCATCATGCCTAATCCTGCAATTGCAGCCAAAATGTTTCAGGTAAGAGTACGTACTCTTATTAATGATGTGATACTCTCCCCAACTAAGCCAATTGGAGACGTTGAAGATTATTATTATAGAACAGAGTTTCAACAAAGAGGATGACCACACATTCACATGATTCTGTGGGTGAAGGATGCACCTATTCTTGACAAGGATACTGATGAGGATGTTACAAAGTTTATTGACCAATATATATCTTGTGAACTTCCACCAGAATGTGATGAGGAATTGCATGAAATAGTAAAGAGTACCCAAGTTCACAGTAAAAACCACACAAAATCGTGCAGAAAAAGAAATGTAGATGTGCAGACCAGTTGCACCAATAGAAGGCAATGAGAAAGATCCAGAATATCTAGAAGCTTTTATAAATATAACAGTAAAGAAAGTCAAAGCGATTGAAACCCTCAGGAAAATTAAGCAAATACTTGTCCAAGGTAATGATGATTTAGATGTTGAACAGATCCTCCAATCTGAACACATCACACAGTCTGGATTTGAGGAAATGTTGGCACTTGTTGCAAAAAAGAGCACCCTATATTTAAAGAGGCAAATACGAGAGAAATGGATTAACAACTATAACCCACACTTAATTCGTTGCTGGAATGGAAATATGGACATACAGTATTGTTTAGATCCCTACTCAGTTGTCGTGTATATGCTTTCGTACCTTACCAAATCTGTAAGAGAAATGGGCGACTTGTTAAAAAATGCACAAAGAGAAGCAAGAGAAGGAAATATGGAAGCGGTTTCAGAACTAAGAAAACTTGGCAGTGTCTACTTGCAGCACAGAGAAATAAGTGTCATGAACGCCATTTACCTTGTTTGTAGTATGCCACTAAAGAACAGTTCTCGGACCGTCATTTTTCTTCAAACCGATTTGAATGGACAGAAAATATCTTTGCCACTTAAACAACTACAAGCAAATGCAGGAAATTCTGAGCAAGTGTGCATGACAACACACATTGAAAAATATATTGGACGACCAAACACAGCACAGTACAATGAAATGTGCATGGCAAAATTTTTCTCAACTAATTATCAAGTGTCAAAACTGGTAATGTTGTTTACAATGAAACTAAACGTCATCAGAACATACCTATTATGTTAGCAAATTGTTCAATCAAAATGAAAGAACGTTCAAAGGGTAAACCAGCAGTTATTCGTTATCCAAGGGTGTCAATAAAGAGAGATAGTGAAGCCTACCATAAGAACATGCTCCGTTTATATCTTCCACACAGACGAAAAATCCTCAAACCAAGCAATTATGCAAAATATGAACAATACCACTTAGATGGTTATGAAACCATTAATGGTGAAAAGGTAAGAGTGCGAGATATAGTTAAAGAAAACATGTCCGAGTTTGAGCCAAATACAGAAGAACTTGATGAGGCGTGGAACGCACTTCAAAATGCAGTAGACCTACAAGATGCATGGGCTCTCATAAATCCACAAGGAGAACAGCAACAACAACTTAATAAGAAAATAGACAATAACAGATTTGATGATTCAGATGATGATTTTGCTGATATTGAAATTCCTGAACTTCAATCTGAAGTCCATAATTTACCTAGATGCGCTATTGAAACCTGTAGTCCTGAAATTACAGAAGAACAAGCGGAATTACTAATGCAAACATTGAATGAAAAACAACGTCAGCTGTTTAATCATGTTTCAAAATGGTGTAACAATAAAGTAATAGACCATACTCTACTACCATTCCACATATTTCTCACCGGCGGTGCTGGAACCGGAAAATCGCATGTTATTAAATGCATCAAGTACTATGCTCACAAGACATTCGCATCCACAACAGAATCTGCCGACAATATTATATTTCTTTGGTAATGTGCTACTTGCTCATACTGGAACAGCTACATTTAATATATCCGGCGAAACTATCTGTTCAGCATTAAAGATCGGTGCCAAGTCCCCAAAGTATTACAGACCACTTGGCGAGCAATGTTTAAATACGTTGCGCATCAAATATCAGCATTTAAAATTACTAATTATTGACGAAATTTCGATGGTCAGTGTAACTCTTCTGTCGTACATCCATGGCCGTTTGCAGCAAATTAAAGGAACATCGAATTCTGCTTTCTTTGGTAATGTGTCTATCTTAGCAGTAGGTGATTTTTACCAATTGCCACCAATATATCCACCAACTCCACTTTGCTTCCCACATGAAGAATTTTGAAAGATCTGTGGAACTCACTCTTTCAAATTGTTGAATTGACCGAAATTATGCGGCAGAGAGATGATGCTGTTTTCGCTCAAATGCTTAACAGACTTCGCATTAGACGAATTATTGAACACTTGAAAAGGCCGATGAAGATTTACTCAAATCACGAATGGTCTAAGAGCTCCTTTAGATGCACTGCATCTCTTTTATCTTAACAAAGATGTCGATAGACACAATGAAAACTGAAGCGTTCATCATAAAGGCAAACGATGTTGATCAAAGAGATGGACGAATCATTCAAATGCATGAAACTCCACATAATACTACGCGCAAAGATGACACATCATGGGCATCTAATCTAAAGCTGGCAGTAGGCGCTCGTACTATGTTCATAGCGAATGTAGATGTTTCCGATGGCTTATGTAATGAAGTGTCTGGAATAATTAAAGGAATAGAATTCTGCAATTCCCAAAACATGCCAACAGCTGTGTATGTTAAATTTGATAGTGACCGTATTGGAACAAAAGCAAAAGCTACAGAGTTCATACCACCTCATTATGCAGGCTGTGTTCCTATAAAACCACGCAAAGAGTCGTTTCAGCTTAAAGGAAAGACATTTACTACCACAGGAGAACAGATACCATTGAAACTTGCATGGGCTGTTACTATCCACAAAGTACAAGGCCAAACAACCGATCAAGCTGTGATTTCTTTGAAAGGTCGAAAAGCACCAATGGCCTATGTAGCACTAAGTCGAGTTACTCATCTCAATGGAATATATTTGCTAGATTTTAAGGACTCTAACATCTTTTTCAATCCACATATTGCTGCTAATCTCGCACTCATGTCTATATGTAAAGCTAATCCTTTAATAGAAATCGATCATAATAAATATTTCATTGTAGCTCATCACAACATTCAAAGTTTACACAGACATATAAAAGACCTGAAAAAAAAATCAGAAAAGCCCATGTGATATGCTTATCTGAAACATGGATTACTGACGATAGCAATTTAGATTCTTTTTCAATTGAAGGATACTCATTCGAAGTAATTAAGGCTAGACATGGTAGAGGTGTCGCCATGTATATGCAAAATGGAATCGATTATTCTGTTCTCCCATTTGTAACTTCAGATTTTGATGTACTCACTATAAAAACGTTTGGCAAAACAAACTTACTGGTTACAGTGATATACAAGCCTGTAGCAACAAGAATGCGCTCATTCAGTACTGAAATAAGTGATATCACAGCGCAAACTGAATTGCTAGATACCAAATACAGCTTAATCGTAGGTGATTTTAACCACAACTTAATTAAAGAAAGTGTTTTGCCTGTTTTTAGGCATTATAACCAACTCATAACCGATTCTACTACTGCCAAGGACACACTTCTAGATCACATTTATATCATAGTTTATAAATACTAAATAACATGTATTGTAAAAAAAAGTGCACACAATTTCAGTGGCAAAAACCTCCTTCCATTTAGGTAATAAAACAATGTGCAATATTAGCAAAATAAAACCAATTATGTCAAAAATCATATAATACAGTATTTCTAGAAAGAAAAAATTGTGTCGAAATATAACAGACTGCTGAAAGTATATAGACCCCAGAAAAGAAAACAGTATTGTTAATTAAAAACATTCCACAATTACATAGTAGTTAATCATGGGACTAAGGTTAATACACATGAGATGGTTCAATAGTGAAAGAAACTTACATTAGACGAGTGTAATTCATCAGCATCAACTGTAATAGTGTCAGTTATACATTGGATTTCACATTGGATCGTGTTCTTATTCCGATATTGCATGATATAAAAAAAAAGGAAAGATAAACCACAGCAATTTGATCTTGGTAAGTTTCAAATGATCTTGGTATTTTCAAATTCTTTATTTTTTAGTTTGTTTTCATGTTTTAATTATTGTTGCACCATTAAGGAGTGTCACAGTGTGAATACCGTTAAATAATTGAAACTTAAATGCTGATACATAAGCCACGAGCTCCATACATACACTAACACTACCAGATACCTTCAACTACAGTAGTTCTGTCAATATTTATTTTATATTAATTTTTAATTCAATTACCAGAAACATACAGTGTATGTGCCTCTTTTCCTAAAAAAAAAAAAAAAAAAAAAAAAAAGATTTTCATATAAAAAATTGCTAAAAACAATTTTATGATCAGTGACCCAAATATATATATTTTAAATTAACATTTATAATCGTTTGTTCTATTTTTGTATTTTTCGACTTTAAATCACAAATTAAGTTATGTATTTTTTAAATAATTTGTTGTGTTTGATACTCATTGCAGATGGATACCATTGCAACAGTAAAGGCATCAACCATACGCTCGTCGTTCCATATCCAAAGAGCCTTCGAATATTTGTGGTAAACACAAAAGAAGATGGCAATCGCTTGGATATTGCTCTTTGCGACCAAACAGGTCCTATTAAAATGATATGCTACGACCAAAAGACTTTTGGTTATGGAAAAACTATTGTAATCAGGAACTTTGAGAAAGGCTATTCTTCAGCATGTCTATTATTTAAACGCAATTCATATGTTGCACCAGCACACAGTCTGTTAGTGCCCGATGACATTAAGCAACAGGCTGAGAATCTGATCATGCCAATGACAGCCCCGGTACTACACATTAGTGAAATTAAGAAAATCGATCCAGAGCACCGACAGCTAGTGAGTGTCCAGGGCACAGTAATAAATGTAAGTAGAAATATTAAGCTCATAAAAAATTGACTACTCATACCACATTATTAAGCTCATTAAAAATTGAAAACTCATACCACATCAGTCCAACTATATAAAGAAACATTTGTTTCACATAATAGTAATATAAGAAAAACATTTATCCTATTTCAAAAAAATCAATGACAATGTTGTACAACATGTATGTTTGCCTCAATAGTTTGTCCTTAATGTTTTATACTGTAGTATTACATTTACAATTAAAATTTCTTATTTAGTAAGTTACTTACTGTCTCTCCGATAAAAAGTCTACCGATTCTTGCCATCTTCTTTTGTGTTTACCACAATTACTCGAAGGCTCTTTGGATATAGAACCGACGAGCGTATGGTTGATGCCTTTACTGTTGCAATGGTATCCATCTGCAATGAGTATCAAACACAACAACATAATGTATCTATAAACGAAGAACAAGAACCGCGAAGAAGACACCGACGCAGTAGGAAATCAAGGGTATCGGGTAAAAACAAATGTAGTAATATTAAAATAGCTTTCAATAATGTAAATAGGTTAACTTCTGCACGACTTTGTGAGATATCTGAATTAATTACAAATAATGGTATTCAAGTTTTTGGTGTAGCAGAAACTTTTCTAACCAATAATAATAATGTTCACATTGACGGATATAATTGGTCGTGTAAATGTAGGAAGTATAAAAAAGGTGGTTGTGTTGGAATATTTGTATCAAAAGATGTTACCATTGTAGATGATAATGTCTTTAATTCAAAGCTAGATGATTTTGAAAGAATTTGGATAAAAATATGTATTAATAATTCAAAATCAGCACCTTTGTACTTATCAGTTGTTTATTATCCAGTCAATGAAGTTGATAATGAAAAGGCAGATGAATTAACTAACCAATTACTTTCAGAGGTGATTCAACTAGAAAATCATACAAATGATTGTGACCCGTCCATTCTTATAATGGGGGAATTTAATGGTAGGATTGGTCATGAAATTCCTAATGGTGACCCACATATTAATAGTAATGGTACTCGACTTCTTCAATTTAAAGATGATTCTAATATGTATATTTTAAATCGTTCTCACTTATGTGAAGGTGTAGTTACATGGTGTAAGGGTAACCAAAAAAGCACTATTGATTACATGCTTTGTTCTAAAACTATTTTGAATAATACAATAAAGTTTATTGTTGATGAGGGTAGGAAGCTAGGCACAGGAAGCGATCACAATACACTTTTGTTAGAATTAGATACCAATTTAAACACCCATGTTAGCCATTGTTCCTATGATAATATATGGAACACTAAAGGAACACAAGATTTTATTAATTACCAGAATAATCTAGAAAGGGGCTTTTCCGACTGGGATGTAGATACTCTTAATGATGTTGACATGTTATGGGATTCATGGAAAAATATTAGAATTAGATACCAATTTAAACACCCATGTTAGCCATTGTTCCTATGATAATATATGGAACACTAAAGGAACACAAGATTTTATTAATTACCAGAATAATCTAGAAAGGGGCTTTTCCGACTGGGATGTAGATACTCTTAATGATGTTGACATGTTATGGGATTCATGGAAAAATATTGTTAACGCTGCAGCTAAGAATGGCATTGGTACTTAAAAAATAAGTAAAAAGCACAAACATTGGTTTGATCATGAGATTAAAAGTGCAATCACAGAACGTAGGGAAGCTGCTCGTGTTCATACCAAGAAAAACGAATTTTAGGCAATCAACTTATTTCTAAAAAAAAATAACTGAATACAGGGTCAATAAGTCTGTTGAGATGGCTAAAATGGGAGGACCTTCTTCTAGAGATTTTTGGGATATTCTGAAAGGGTCAAATGATAAACATGGCAAGTCTGGTATTAACTGTGTTAAAATCCCAGAGACTGGTGAAACAACGTGTGATAAAGACAAAATTCTTGATACTGTTAGGGACTATTGGAAGAGCTTAGGTAAAGTTGAAGAAAGTAATGATTGTTTTACCTTTTTGACACGGAGGGCAGTTAATGAGATGCGCTCAAGCAAAATAGATGTAAATAATGAAGATGATGAAAATTTACTTTTTAACATTAATATTGATAATGAAATAGTTGCAGAAGCTCTTTCAATTGCTAAAAATAATAAAGCTCCTGGAGTAGATGGAATAACCAATGAACTTCTGAAAAATGGTGGTGGTATACACCTAAAGAGGCTCTTTATGGAGAAGATGTGTATAAGAGACAGATATTACACTGTACAGCCATTAACAAATCTTGAAAATTACCTTCTACTTTGTAACGATTATGATACATGAACACTTTTTTCAACAACAAATGACGATATTAAACTTCAATATGTATTAGGAGGAGATTAAGTTTTTATTTGTGATGAATCTACCTCTATTTTTGATAATTTCTGAATTTTCATGAATGCTTGGGAGAAACGCTCACAACTAAAAAATTCACAACAATAGGTTACTGTAAATGTATCGTTGCTTATCAAATTGTGTAATGTTAATTTTTTTGTTTACCACAAGTGGACTCTACATCGTAGTCTGTATTCCTTAAGTTTTGTAGGTCTACCTTGGTATTATCTTTTTGTTGTAAGACTTTTTCATCTTTAGATTTTATATTTTGTAGCTTAGTTATTTTAAGCATTTACTTTACAGTTGACCTGTAAATATTTCTGAGTATGAAATGCGAAGTGAAATGTTATCTCATCTAATTTCGTATGTTATTTTTCTACCTTTCTTTAATTTTGTAATATTATTTACAGTCGATTGTTATTTATTTTGTTTGTTAAATTTTCCCCTTTTTTTGTTTTTGTTTGTACGAACGCACCAATTGATATTGAGTGCCACCGATTCAAAGGTGTATGTTCAAATAAATAAATAAACAACAAATTATTTAAACGAGATCATCAATGATGCAATAGCCCACTTGACAATAGCTGGCAATGTTGCTGTCGGTGGGTGGAGGTTGTGTGGAGTGTTGTTATGTGTATTGAGCATAAAGAAAAACGTTTAAAGTTAGAGTTAGTTGTATGCATCATCATAGACCTTTTTTTGTTATGTTCACTTAACAGTTAGGAAAGGTGTGATGTCGTGTACAGTGATATTAATGGAAATACGGTTGTTGTAAGGTTTGTTGTGTACGTAACTTTTTGAAATATTTTGTACTGTAATTATGAAGATATTTATGTAGAGGTTTATGATATAAGTAGACAGTTCGGTGAGTGAATGCTGGGTTCACTCTAACTTTCATTTTTGTTTAGCCAATTGACTAAAGTTAAAAAAAAAATTTTAGCCAATTTGATATTTGTTTAGCCAAAATTGGCTAAAATGTTAAAAATTGTTTTAGCCACTTATCATGCACTTAAATGGCCCGAGTGAAGTTTATGCAAATGTTTCGTACGGAAAAAAAATCGTGGCCTAGCCATTGACATTGAAATCATTCAAGCATTCAAGTAAAAACCCCCAAGCTCGAAAGCCATTATTTACCCGGCAGTCGGCTGCTTTAGTTCTGCTGTTGTGTGTGCACTTGGGCATTTGGGGCACGCTAACAGCTAGCCGACCGTCGTGAACATAGAAATTACAGTACAGACAGGAATTACAGTACTGTTTCGTATCTGCGCGTCACCTCTCGTAATCTGCTCGTAGGTTATATTTTGAACGTAGCTACGAACCACTACGAAGGACATTATTATTTTAATTAGCTTTGCAAACTTCTTAGGCTGGATGGTCGGGCTCATAAACAATGCGTTAACAATATTGAAATATAGTTTACCAGCTTTCAGCACGTGAAAAATGTTGCAATTTACTAATAAACAATGTTAGAACTTATTGTTTTGTTATTTCCTACATTATTATTAGATCGATCATGTTTTAAAACTGTGTTTAGTTCGATAGCTAGGTAAGCCTAGTGGGCCGTCAGTATGTTCGAATTTCGATGTCATAGAGGAGGACAGTGGACAGTAATTTATACTGGTTAACTTTCCAATTCGGAGAATTTTGATCTGATATTGTTCTGGTAGTAGGAACTTTCTTCTTTTAAATACTAATATTGATGACAAATCATGTACAAATTATTACGATTTCTACTTAAGATCACGTTGTTTATTGTTTACCGTAATTTGAGGCAGAACCTGCTAAGCGATCCAATACTAATGAACTACAGAAATCACTACTTTGCCGAAGTAAGGCTAGTCATGATAGACCGCATTTTCTTCGTCTTTTACTTACTGTCGCTCACACCTTTTCAACATTTGCCACGAGGTTACCCTTTAACACACTTTACTGTGTTCTGATTGGCGCGCACTCTGTCCGATGCTGGATTTTTGGGGTTGACAAGATGAACTGGCATTTTGCCAAGTTTCATTTTCCATTTAGTTTTACATGTGACATTCGGTAATTTTACAATTAACGGACGTTAACTCTCTCTATATTGATTTTTTATCGTACTAAATCAAGGCTACAAAGTATTATTTGATGAACAATCTTTTCACGTGTGTGTATTGTCATTGATGGCATCTTTTTTAACAGTTAAAGAGGTAAAATAATTGTAAATAAAAAAAATAGGCTAGCCTAGGCCAGGCTAATTAATAAAAAAAATAAAAAATAAAAAAAAAATACAGAAGTCAATTGTACGTTTTTCTTATTGAAAAAGAACTCCATACTTTAAATTAACGGTCTAAACTTGTGCTTGTCATTAACAAATTATCAAGCAATACATTGTTTATTCCAGAAAGCTACAGCAGTCTGTCTGCACATACAAATAAACAACATGCTTTTGCTTCGTAGGTTCGCTTCGCGTAGCCGGCCTTGCTTAGATGGTTTATATCATCAGGCTACGATGTATCTACGATGCCTGCGCACAGGTAAAAATGCAGTATTTTGTGTCGGTACTGTAGTCGTTACCATCCAGCCACTGATTGTTACGCTGCCCACTTTAAAATAACAAATAATTTGCGATGCACACAGTGGCGTTTGTAGTCACACTAATAGAACAACACACATAAACGTCGCATGGCACTGGCAATGGAGTAGGCCTAGCGTAAAATGAAGATCTTGGCCTTGATCGTGCCGACGGAAAAATATTTCTATGGAGAGGTCGGACGAAAGAAACAATGTATTTCAGCAAGTATTTAAAAAAAACATTTTTATTTTTTTTAAGCTTTCGCCAAAAAGGCTAAAGTAGTTGTTTTTTGTTTCGCCAATTCAAAATTGTTTTCGCCCATGGCGACTTGGCGATCGGTTAGCGTGAACCCAGGAATGGAATTTGTTGCATAAAAGTATTTCATTGTGAAGAAATATGTTTTTCCAAAGGCGCATTATAATTACGTACATCATCAATTGTCTTTCTTTGGTTTGAGAAAGGCTAAATAACTTCTTGGCTGACGTCAGATATTGATTTATGTATACGTATGTATATATATGTATGTATGTATATGTGTATATATATATATATATATATATATATATATGTATATATATGTATACATATGTATATATATGTATATATGTATATATGTATATGTATATATGTATATACATATATATATATATACACGTGTATACGTATACGCGTATACGTATTGGCGTATACGTATACATATATACATACATATATATACATATATATACGTATATACGTATATACATATATATATATATATGTACAGTATGTGTATATATGTATATGTACA